GATCATCTGATGTACCAGACCTCTAAATTAAGATACTGTGTGACTTGTAAATTCTAATTGGTGAGCTGTTCAGTTCAATTTCCCTGTCATTAGCTGTTATAAAGCACTATGTGAAATTTGTGACAAGATTTTTTTTTTTAAATTTTACTATACTAAGCCTGTCCATTTCAACATTAATTACTGCTTGCTGTGTTCTGAAGATGAAGCAGTTAAATTACCACTGGAAAGAGCAGAGTGAGAAATGTCTACATTAAGCATTTTGTAATTCTTGTCTTTAGGAATTTTATTTGTTTGCTTGTTTATTTTATTTTTTTACATAAGGAAAGTAGTTTAAGCTCTTCATCCCTGTGCCTGCTTATCTCTGCAGTTGCAGCTAGCTCATCTACAGTCAGCAGTCTGACATTACTCRTTTTTCTGAAGCAGCATCTGTAAGYTTGTCCCTGAAGCATAATTGTCAATCATGAATTTAAATAACTCAGTATGGCTATAAGATGACCAAGGAAGATTGCATGATTAGGGTGACTGAAGTTGACAAGCCATGTGGCTGGTGAAAAACAGCACAGCCCCTTTCCTACTCATTAAGAGCATAATTCTTCAGTCAGGGTTAGGGAACTTTATTTCTGTAGTACCAAATGTAAGAGCATTATAGCATGAATATAAAATAATTATTTTGAGTTATTTGAAATATTTTTGTATGTAAGTCCAGTCTTGGCACCATACAAACAAATGTCAATGAGCTATTTCCCAAGAAAGCTTCCAGCTGCTTTTAAAATAAAGGCATAAGATGGGAGCACTGTTTCAAATTAGAATGCAAGTTGGTATCTGAGCAGCAAAGGAAAAGCCTGATCATTTCCACATTGGAAAAGTTTAGGAATGTGTCTGCAAGATTGCAGCGTTGTTGCGACTTGTTTTCTTASCCCATTAATCAGAATGATAAAGTGGTGACAGGAGGTACTCCACTTGCATCCGGAATGTTTTCCTGATGTACCCACATGATTGATGTGGTTCATTTTAGAGATATCTGTAAGAGAGCAGCATCAAGCACAGACTGTTGTGATTGGGAAGAGAGATTCTGTCATAAATTCTAACACACTAAAAAGAAAGTTGTTTGCTTTGCCAGGACTCAGGACTTCTTCCAAAACAGTTTTATGCAGAACCATGAAACAAAGGTCCCTTCTATGATTAGAAACCCCTGTGCTCTTCCCTTAATTCAAAGAAGTTGAAACACTTCAATGAAGGGAGTTTGTGTGGCAAATTAGAAAAGTTTTAAGATATTTTTATTGCTGTTTTCTAAGGGCAATATGATCTGATTAGAGTAAAGATTTTGTTTGGCCTACGCTAAATGGGAGTTTGCTGCATACCTTTGCAGTTTCCAAATCTACTAAACCTGAAGATAATTATAGATGTGGTATGGAAAAGCCACAAATATTAAAGTCTGCATGAAATATTTTAAAATCCCTCCTTTTCCATACTTTTTTTTGTTTTCTTTTTTCTCCCCCCC